CTAAAAGCCTAAAACACTTGAATGTGGTTGATGAAATCTTTGAAGATGATATTATCCTAAGAGTTTTAACATATAATAATGTGTGTAAATAAGATTAAACTAGTGTAAAAGTGTGTAAAAACACTAGATTATAAAGAAGACTTACCAAAACTCTAAGAATAAACTTGGAGAATTAACCCTTGGAATTTTGTACTTGATTCTTGAGAGAGTATGGAGTCAACAGAAAGGAATATGGAAATGGTGGGGGGTTTGTAGGGTCTTCTCAACCATAGTTAAAGAGGTGAAAGTGAGGTGACATTTGCATTGTTATTTGCTAGATAAATGCTTTGATACATGATGGGTAAAACTTTGTGTTGGAAAGGATGAAACATCAAGTCACAAAGTCAACCCTTCCTTATCTTTTTCCCCATCGAAATCCATCCTAAAACCACTGAAACCAACTATGATTTCGGCCTAGCACCAAACGAGACCACCTTGTGATTTTGGTCCATGTGCCAACCGAGATCACATGGTGATTTCGGCTCGTGTGCCAACCAAAATCCCATGGTGATTTCGGTCCATGCACTAACCGAAATCCCAATTGTTTTGAGTCCTAAGCTATTGACTAGTTGACTTTACTTGACTCTTGTTGGTTCGTTTGATTTCTGTTGGATCCAAAATTGATAGTTGTCACATTTCAGGTTGAAATCACCAAGGCCGACCCTTTGATTTGATAACCTAATATTGTAGATATGTTGAGTATGGAATTGATATGCATGGTAGTTTGGTGGATCAGTAGGACTACCTGCGATACTGTCTGTTTATCTGAATGTGTTATTATCTGTTATATGTTGAAATATTGTGTGGGTTGGGTTGAGGTTGTACTGATCCATACAGTAGCCAACAAACCCTGGAGCATACTAGATATGACCTAAGGACCAAGGGAGGGCATGCCAGATTCATATCGAGGGCTCATGAGCATTCCAGATACGACCTGAGTGTGACAACCCGATATTTCGAGGCAATATGATGGAACTCAAGTCAAATTTATGTCAAAATTTAACTTTTCTAAAACCTTATTTGGGTTAAATAAAGTAGTAGGAATCGTATCAAGGTTTTCATACATATAAAGAACCCAAAAATCCGAGTTATAACGAAGAAGTTATGACCAACCGAAGATTCTCGCCAAAACCGATAAACGTAAAATGCGAAGTTTCAATACAATAGTTTTTGGCCTTAGGTATTTAAATGAAAGTTTTAGATATCATCGAACCGTAAACGTACATAAAAAGAACGTCCAAATCTGACTTCGTATGAGGAAGTTGTGATTTTTCTAAGTTACAGATATAACAGTAGACAGCTAAAAACTCGAAATAGAGATCGAGAGACTTTTAGCCGACACAATCTTAATGAGAATCGAAGGGCTCAACAATACTAGCGCAACGGTAAAAAGTCTGACGAAAACGGACGTCAGATGAAGAAGTTATGGAACTTTAACGGACTTTTCCTGTCCCGACCTATTAAAAATATAATATTAAAAATAAATTCAAAACTAGCCGACGGAGTCTAAATGGGAAGTTGTAGATCGTAGTCTCACCTTCGCGTGGATATAAAGAACGTCTAAAACGGAGTTCGTATGAGAAAGATATGAATTTTTGAAGTTTGCTAATTAATTAAAATATAAATTTAATTAAAATCGGATATTATCCGAAGGAGGAGTCATCAGACCAATCTAGGTTACGCCCCGCGTACCCTCGTACGCCCAGCGTACTCGGATGCTAGGCTCCGGTTCGTCCACGTCGCTCCGATATTTCGACCGAGGATGCGCTCATGCATGACGCATGAGTACGCAGCGCGTACTCTCGTACGCCCCGCGTAACGAGGTCCTCCAGCCCCTATATAAAGGGTGCGAGGGTGCCAGCCATATTTGCTCATTTCCTTCCTTTCTCGCGCCGAAGCTCTGCGTTTCAACCCTCGGAGTCATCCCAAAGGCCCGGTTTTCATATCCAAGGTGGGAAGAAAGTTTTACACTCCCGAGACTCCCGAGATTTCCCGAGAATCTCGAGAGATCCGCTTTCTCGAGTAGAAGTTCTGCTCGGTTTTCGTCACGCTTTCTTCAATCAATCAAGTGAGTTCATACCCCTATAAACTACACTTTTAAATGTTTTATAAATACTTTTATATGCTTTTAAGGGGGGAATACAAGTTAAATACTCGATTATTGTCGTGTGTTATATAATAAAGTTCATTATACGCTTTTTATCAACGGAATCATATGTGATTTATAACAATTATAGGGAAACTTTCGTATGAAAAATATATCACGATAACATCATAACTTTTGAAATGAAAAGTATATATATATATATATATATATATATAATATATATATATATATATATATATATATATATCAAACACTCTGCTTATACTGTATGTATATGTGTCCATCTTTGGTACTACAAACATACGATTATTTTGGCACGAAAAACATCAATATTTTGGGATACTTGTTGTTAATAAATCAATCATATGGGATTTATAACTAGTATACAAATGGATTTACTACAAGTTTAGCAGTTTTACTAAACATATTACTTCAAATGACTTTCTTAAACGTTTTTACATGATTAAAGCTCTTTATCAAACTGTCTTACACACTGTAAGCTTCCTTTCAAACTCGGTTACAAAGGTGTTTTCAAACAGTGGTTTTCCGTGTACTTAAACTGTCTTATCAAACAAAATACTTTCAATCGTTTTATAAACTGACATCAAGTCACAAATTCTTTATTAGACTTTTCAACGGTTTTACAAAACTTCTTTTATGCTTTTATATTATAAATTGCATGCCTCTATATGTATAGTTATATAAGAAATGTTTAAAAGACTTAGGAAGGCTATCCACCCTATTTCCTTTTCCTCGATTTGGATGTGGTCTGGTGGGATATCGGGTACCCGTCCGAAGGTCGTTTAAATATTAGTTATATATCATGTGTACATATATAGTCATAAATGTTCCATCAGCTAATTCTGTTCTGATGCTCTTGGGTAGCAAGGGTGTATAAATCTACTTGGACACTCATCAATTACATTCTAGTAAACTATTATAGGAATAGTTTAGGGGATACAAAACATTATTCCTATTACAAGAAATTACACCAGAGTCAGTTCATTCATGAGTCTAGACTACATGCTATATGAAGGGATACTCTTACAGAGATTCCTCTTACATGGATATATTTATAGGGATACTCTTACATAGATACGCTTACATGAGTACGTTTACATGAATACTCTTACATGAATACTTTTACATAGACATTATATGGCAAATTACTATTACATATTATATGTCTAGATACTGTTATATAGTTCTCCTTTCTATCTTTACCTTGTGATACAAACACATCATCGACGAGATAGATTGGACTTTATATCCTAGTACCAAAGGATACTTTACGGGATTAACCATTCCTAGAATCTCTATTAGCTACAGAGGTAAATGCACATCCACGGATGTCTTCGGTTGATACCATTACAGGTATACTTTAAGGGATTAACTATTCCTACACCCAGCTGTTAGCAACAGAGGTAAATGTACATCTACGGATGTCTAAAGTTAACACTGTTAGTTATCCTAGTATAAAGGGATAATACGTAAGTTAGTTATCCTAGTATAAAGGGATAATACGTAAGTTAGTTATATTATTACCATTATCTTGTGACTCATCCACATAACCAATGAGGTGAATCGTATTTGAGTATCCTAGTACCAAAGGATACAATTTCTTATATTAATAATAATTGTCAAACAGTCGGGTCTTGGTAGAAGACTACTTTCAAAACAACTAGGTCTTGGTAGAAGATTTCATCTATACTAATAGGAATCATAGGGATTTCTAGGGTTTACCAAACGGTTTCGATTACTTACAAACATTTCCACACTTATACGAACTTTCTTTCAGAACAATATCAAGTCTTTCATTACAAGTCTTTCATTACAAGTACAAGTTTTACAAATCAAAAACACATTAATACTTATGAATTCACCAGCTTTTTGGCTGATACTCACTTTCAAAATAACTTGTATTCTCAGGTCGCAAATAGACAGGTACGACGACCAGGTTTTGTGAAGACGGAGCAATCCAGACTCGTCTTATTTTCTGATTATTCATTTTATTGTTGTATATTATGAAAGAACACACATGTACTTGAAACTTATACTATTAATGCAATGGATGATGTTGTTGCTTGTTTACTACTTTACATTGTTGTGATACATTACATGACGTCCTCCGCCCCATAACGTTTCCGCCGTTCTCGGTTTTGGGGTGTGACACTGAGGGTCGGGAAGGGCATGTCAGACTCGTACTAAGGGCTTAATGACATTCAGTCCTTAGGCTGATCAGGTTGGAGAGCAAGCCAGACATAAGTTGTGGGGCCATGGGGGCAAGCCAGACATATTGCACCAAGGATGCTATGGATAAGCCTAATCTCAAATATGGTAATTATTTAACTCCTTTGATTATTCGTATATGATAAGATATTCTAGAAATTCTATAATAATCTTACATATATCATAAATTTCGTCCACCACCTTCCTAGGAAGGTTCTAGACCCTTTTGCTCAACTATTGAATAATTGCACTTTTAGTCCCTACACTTTCAATTAATTCTTTTAATCCCAAAATTAATTTCAAATTGATTTCTGATCAAACATTAATTAATAATATAATTACTAATTAATATATTATTTCCATAATATCTTAATAAATCATTTATTCCATTTTATTAATCAAATTAATAAATTCTTCTTCATCCTCAATTAACCATCATGTCTAGTCGCAATTGTGAAGGCAACCCAAAAGAACCATGTCACTATCAATTAAAGTACATAACAATTATAGTTATGTGTTTAGACACCTAATCCACAAGTACATGTTAAGTGAAAGATTATTACTAGAAGTCACATTTACCTCCATAATAGAAACATTAAAGATATCTAGTGATTTGAAAGAACAATACTGATATATTATGGAGAAGTGTTCGACTTGTTTACACATGAATCTATGAGTCCAAATTCTTATATGAAAAAATACCATGTTTATATAATAAAAAATGAATAACCTCATGTACCTTAATTACATAATCCACAATCACGAGAATCGAGTTCTAATTCCTTTCTTGTTTTACCAACAAGTAAGTCTTTGGATTTGATTAATCCGGGGATTAACCCAATCAATGTAGTAAGATGAAATTGAGCCACTGCATCATGTCTACCTAGTGAAACAATCGCCTTACGACTTGAACTCATTTTGTATGTTGTCATCTTGCTTTCATCTCCTCCACGTATCAATAATTGTAGGTTTTTAGCAGCAACTGATGCTTGCTTTTTTCGCCAAATAACCTTGCTTCATTTCCTATTGTTCACATGCCATGTTATTATGATAATAAGGACAATTACGTCTTTTATACAAAAAACAATGGTTCAGATGTCTGTTGAAAGAAAACAGTGATTTTCGGGTTAATCATGTTTTTCTTTTCATATGGTGTTTTTTTTAATGATATATATAAATTTTGTTACTTGATTAATTATTGGAATTGTAGTAGAATTAGTTGTACCGTTAGATATAAATTTCTAAAATCTTTTTGGACGAACCTCAATAAATTTTCTAGAGCTATTTTTGATGATTATTAGGAGGGTATTTACGTCCTTTGGTAGGCTCAATTGTTTTGAAAGGAAAAAACCTATGGTTTGGTTTTTTGTTTTTAAGAAAATAGAAATATTTTAGGGTTGATTCTGTTTGTGTTTATAAACTGGAAATAAAAACCAAACCAAAAAGCATTTTTAATACAATGTCATAATAAATAATAGATAAAAGTTTCTTTCTTGATTAATTATTAACGGTAGTTAGTGTTTCCATTGCAAGCACTAGTCATTTTGGTTTCAACAAATATCTATTCAATTGCTATTTTTATAGCTTTATGCAACTAAAAACCAAAAAGAAAAACCGAACCGAAACATCAAAATCAAATTTGAAGAAATTGAACAAAAACAGTTTTGTGGGGCAAGAAACGGGATTTTTTCATTTAGGCAAAAACCAAAATTGCATAAGAAAGCAAGGCTTGATTATGGTGCCTACAAATCATCCTAAAAAAAGTGAGACTAAAGTGTTTTGGCATTGTTTTTAAAACATTTTTTGGTTTTTAACTTTTCAAAAAAATTAAAAAAACATCCAAAAGATGTTTAACTATTAAAAAAAAATCTTTTAAAATGATTTTTTGTATTGAAAGAAAAAAAAGTATTTCAAAGTTACAAATTTTATCTTTTTGTGATTTTTGAAACTTTTAATCTGAAAAGTTAACTTTTATGCTAAAAGCAAATACTAATCCTTTTGAAAGAATTTCTTTCCGAAAAAATCAATAAACAAAAAATCCTTTTTCAAAAGGGATTTTTTTAGCTTTCAAAAGTTTCTCAAACACAAAAAGTTTTCCTAACACCCCCTTAGAATAGGGAATGGAAAGTGGAAACTAACCTTGATGTTGGTAATATCTCCAATGGCAAAGATATTCTTCCTACCCCTAACTCTCAAATTTTCATCAACAATCAACCTCCCTAATTCATCCAATCGATCTTTCAAAATGGTACCTTTCAACCAAGAAGACCCCAATGGCTTCCCAGTACACAAGAAATGGCAATCCGCTTTGATTGTTTCACCAGCTGAAGTTGTATACAGTTTGGTTCCATTACTACAATCCTCCACATTCACAGTTTGATCAAGTTTCACTTCAACATGCCTTGATTTTAGCCAATCTAATGTCTTCTTAGAAGCTTTTGGTCCAAGAAATTCTAGCAACCTGTAGCCGCTATGGACCAACGTTATCTTCTTCTCCGGGAAATCAACTGCAATTTCTCCGGCAAGTTCTACTCCGGTCGGCCCACCTCCAACAATCAAAATCGATGCCGCAGCTTTTATTTTTTCATTTTCTGCGATGTTTAAACAGCGCTCATAAGCTTCAAACTACCATCAATCTGGAAGAAACTTGAAATTGGGTTTACCTGATTGGTATTGTTTCAGTCTCTCCGATCTAGTTTTTGGTACTTGATCGTCATGACCTGTAGCAATAACGAGATAATTATACGGGATCGGTCGACCTTCTGATAAGAGGATTTCAGAATCAGATATGCCGATAGCATTGGAGACGATGAGACGAGATGATGTTAGGTAACGTTTGTGCTGGATTAAGGATCTCTCCGCAAAAGTTGGTTCCACCATTCCTCTCAAGCTTGCCCATGGAATCTCGAAATACTCCTTCCTGTTCATATTCGGATCTAAATGTTATTAAACCGTATTCTATTTTCCAATCCATAATTGATTTGTTCACGAATCCATATTGTAAAAAAAAACCTACGACGACTCAAAACAAAAAAACATGCAGCCATTCTGGAAAAGAAAAGGATTAGAGAGAAGAATAAGAAACCATACGGATCAATTAGTGTTACATTGCCATGAAACTGGAGCGATTTAGCAATGTAGGAGCCGGCAACTCCACCGCCAATAACGACTATTTTGTTCGCAGCACCGCCAGTTGCTACCAATGGGCTGGCCATCAAAAGAACGAGTGGATTGTTGTTGTTCCGACTGGAATCTGATCAAATATAAGTTAATTTGATTGTAGGATTGTGGAAGAAAGAGGGTTTTAGTATGGATGATAGCGTTGACACGACACGACAGGAGGATGAAGATGCCAAGAAGGCCATTGTTTTGCAAGAATCTTCAAAGGTTTTACTTGGTCTATGCAACTTCACAACATCAAAACCTTAACAAAGTCTTTAAGTCAACAACATTTAATTAAAGGTTAATTCACGGCATCAAAACTTTAACAAAGTCTTAAAGAGGGTATTTTGCAAAACTTATTTATAAGGGATAATGACTTGAAAGTATAACAACTTTCGATTTTTTTCATATTTAGTAACTAAACTTTTTTTCGTTATCTATTTGTCATTGAACTATTGAAACTGTTCACATTTTACCCTTATGACTGGTTGTTACCGGTCATAAGGGTAAAATGTGATCAGTTTCATTAATTTAGTAGTAAATAGATGACGAAAAAAAAATTAGTGACTAAATATGAACAAAATCGAAAGTTCGTTTCCCTCTAAAAAAGTTCAATGACTAAATGTGAACAAACTTCCTCTTGTATTATGTTTTAGCAAATTATGTATTTTGTTAAATTGTAACAACATTTGTTGATGAACAAATCTATGAAATAAAAAAAAAACACAAAACCCTGAAAATATATTTTAAAAAAAAAAACAAAAAAACCAAAACCGAAATAAAAAACCAATGATTTGAAATTTTCCAAAATAAAAAATAAAAATTTTCAATCTGATTTTGGTTTTACAAAAAAATGAACCATTCTCACTAATGTGAATTATGACCATTGGTTTGGCATGCGGAATTTGTGACATCCCATGAATACGTAGTTATAACATCATCTGAACTCGTAATTCATATGAAGGGGTTAGAGTATCATCGAATGAATACGTAGTTACAACATCGTCTGAACTCGTAATTCATCATCTACAGGTTATGGGTCTGCTGGTGTTTCCACTGGGTTGTTTACAATAGTCGGTGGTAGCTATTAATTTTTTAACTTAAACCGGAGGATATGGGAGTGAAGCTTTCTTCACTTTTTATAGGTCATTCTCTTTCCCTTATTTTTTTCCCTCACCTAAAACCCAAGGAATGGGTGAGAAGTCTTTTTCTCACTTTTTTTTATTTATTAAATAAAATTATTTTTTTTTATTTATAATTTTTAAATTAATACTAAACATAAAATTTAATTAAAAATAAAAAGCATTTCATTAATTAAAATAAAAATTACATTAAACCTAATATTTAAATAAGTAGAAAAATAATTAATATCCTAATTTTGTATAAACCAAAATACTTCACTTGGAATCATCATGTTCGTCATCGCCCTCATCGTCCTCGTCATCGTCTTGATCGTCTTCATCATTCTCCTAGCGTCGCTCTCGTTGTCGAAATCTTCACTCTCAACGAACATATCAGAATCCTCGTCTGATTCGTCCAACAAATCACCGCGATGAAACTCTAACGGGGGCTGAATATGAGCCCTATAAATGTACTCCACCAAATCAGCACGAAGGGCGTGATGAATGTCGTGATTGTGTACTTCTCTTCTATTCACCCTATACTCTTGTGTACCAATGACTACTCCTTCGACATTTGGCAAAACTTCATTTTCGTTGTACCGTCATATCGCTCTTCCTTCGTTTTCATGAATCATATTATGCAATATGATACATGAATACATTACGTGTTGTAACCTTTTCACCTCATATGACCTTGCCCCGACAGTTAGTACTTGCCAACGTCTCTTAAGTACACCAAATGTTTGCTCCACATCCTTCCTAGCTAACTCTTGCGCCTCTTTAAACTTTTTCATTTTCTGGTTGTTAGGACATGTAAACGATTTCACAAAAACAGACAAGGGAGGATATATACTGTCAGTAAGATAGTATCCAAGCTTATATGCTACCCTATTTGCTTGAAAATGTACATCGTGCGACTTTCCAAGGTAGATATCGTTGAATACCGACGACTGGTCTAGCACATTGATGTCATTGTTTGCACCAGCCGGACCAAAGAATGCATGCCATATCCAAAGATCATGTGATGCGATAGCCTCTAGAATGATCGTCGGCTCTTTGTGGTCGCCTCTCATGTACTGACCACTCCATGCATTGGGGCATAATGACCAACTCCAATGCATGCAATCGATACTACCTAGCATTCCAGGGAATCCGTGCTTGCCTTCATGCACCGTGTACAATTGGTGGATATCGTTGATAGTTGGTTTGCGTAAATATTGTTGCCCATAAACTAAACAGATCGTTTTGCAGAACTTGTACACACACTCCCGCACGGTATGCCCTGACATCCTAAAATACTTGTCCTATTTTTCTGCACCCATGTCATATGCTAGCTGACGAATTGTAGTCATACATTTTTGAACGGGAGAGAAACCTTTTACCCACCTTGCATTCATCTTCCATTGGAAATATGGAAAGCGGCCTTCCAAATCGCCAACAATACGTAAGAATAGTTCCTTCCTCATCCAGAACCGACGTCGAAACTTTACAGCGTAGATGGCGTCATCTGCAAAATAATCTGCTATAAGGCGATCGTGTCCGGCTTCGTGATTTCTATGCAACCACAACTTTCTTAGCTTAGATCATGCACGTGATGTTTCGCCTAGTCCGTTTAGATAGTATGCAATCGTTTTCGCCAGGATAGAACCAATAAACTTAGCCTCCTCTATAGCCGTCGAATCGGATGATGAAGATGATGACATATTGAATAATATTTTTGGAGAGAAGTATAGGGTATTGGTTAAAAAAATGATTGGGTGTTGCGGTATTTATAGTTTAAGAAAAGGAAAAAAAACAATTTATATATATATATATATATATATATATATATATATATATATATATATATATATATATATATATATATATATATATATATATATATATAACGGATATATACTCGTTGGAATGGAATCAACCGTTGCGATAAAAAAATAAATAAAAAATAAACGAACCAGTAATGTGAGGAGTGAGAACGCGGGATCCCCACCCACACCCTCTTTCCGCGCCAACCTTCCCGCACCCTCGGTGCGGTGTTCCCCTGTACGGGATACGTCCCGCACCTCTCCCCGCACTCCATACCGTCCGGCCTTATTTCTAATTAATATATGGCTATGTTAAAACGGAGTTTTTTAAAAAAAAAAATGGTTGATTAAACTTATCGAGTATTAAAACTCTATAAGTTGATAAATCATTTTTAGTAAAAAAAACTGCTATTATATATATATATATATATATATATATATATATATATATATATATATATATATATATATATATATATATATATATATATATATATATACACACCAAAAAGGACTTCCTCTGTATGATGATTTATTTTTCTTATTTTAACTAATATAATTAACCATTTTTTTAATTTAGTTTTAATAAGATTTTTTTTATAAGTAAGCTTTTTTTACGAATAAGTTTTTGATAAAATTGTAAAAATGATCCCTGTTGTATGTATTTTTTTGGGGTTTTGGTCTAAATCACGAGTTTTTTGGGTTGGTAGTCATTTTGACTATGTTTACTTGTAGTTTTGGTCCATCGAAAAACTGAAAAGACTAAAATGCCCTTTCTTATATATTGTTTATATTTTTCTATTTAATTTAAAGGAAAAAGAAAATAAATAATTAATTTGGGCCCACATCTCTCTCTCTCTCTCTCTCTCTGAATGAAAGTCAATGAATAAAAAAAGAAATTGCAAAATTTCTTTTCCCTCCTGATCAAACTTCCTAAACCCATTCACCACCTTCACCTCCATCTTTAGACCTACCAAAATTTATTTTCCCACTTGCATTCTCGTCATTAACACCACCACCACATCATCAGCCGTGCACCACCATTACCTCGACATAGACCCACCATCGATGACTTTTGACCACCGTGAACCACCCTCAATCACCCACCCTTCACGATCTTTTTTTCTTCTTCTTCTGTTCCGTTCCTTCTTACACTGTCAAGCACAACCACCACCAAGAAGGGGTGGTGATGTTGTTGTAGTTGTCAAGTTGTTCCATCGAGAACCACCAGGAGCCGCCACCAGCATCCACCCTTTATTTTTCCCTTGGGCTGCCAACGTAAACCACCACCACCCACTACAATTGTTGTTGTCGAAAAGACCTTCCCCGCCCTCCCTCTCATCCCCAAATCATAGTTTTCGTAGATCTGGAGCAAAAACGAAATGACAGGAGGTCGTTGGAGCTCCATTACCCGCCTGCAACGCTAGCCCACTCTACCGTCACCACCCGCTCCCACCTTGGTTGTTGCCACTGTGAGGACTCCAACCATCGCCAACCACTTATACAATCAACAAAACAAAATCATAAAAGAATAGTGGTGAAAGGGAATTTACGGTGAAATGAGAGACAGTAGGAGGTGGTCGGGCTTCGTGGCAACAAGGCGACAATGGTTGGTGCTATGATGGTGGAAGGAGGCCAACAGCCTCCTGTTGCCGGTTTTCTGTTGCTTTTCTGATGAAGACGAAGACAGAGGGGGATGGAGGGACCTCACAAGTAGCAACATAACAACAATGGAGGGTGGTGGAGGGGATGTTTTTGGTGGTGGCAGTGGATGGCGATGAGGTGGTAGAGGGGTTCCGAGGGTGGTTTTTCCTTCGGTTCTTCTTCCTGTTTTCGAGATGGAATTGAAGAGGGAGGGATGGGCTGGTGGTGGGGCTTAAGGATGGGTTATAAGGGAGGTGTTGGGTGGGTTTACGGTGGTGGAATGGTGGTGTGTATGTGGTAGAGTGGTGGTGTTGTGTGTGTATGTGTGTTACTATGAGAGAGAGAGAGAGAGAAAGAAAGAGACAAAGAGAGAGATAGAGAGAGAGAGAAGAGGGCCCACTTTTATATTTGTTAATAATAACAATTTTAAAAAGTAAAAGAAAAATGAAAACTAAATTCATTAAGGGTATAATAGTCATTTTAGGTTGGACAGGGACCAAAACTGCAAACAAACTAGCTCAAAAGAACCACCAACCCAAAAAACTCATGGTTTGGACCAAAACCCCAAAACATACATACCACAAGGACCATTTTTGCAATTTCTTCTAAGTTTTTTTTAATTAATAATTTTTTTTATAAAATATCTAATGTTTCAACAACATTTAAAATAGTAAACCATAATAATAAGAATACATTAAACATATTTAAGTTTCAACAACATTTAAAATTTTTCAACAATAATTTAGTTAACAATCATGTGACAACTGCCAATTCAGGTCATTCTTGGACTCATGCATCTTTATAATAACCATTCATGCACAACATACCATGACCTAGTAGTATAAATTAGGTCAAAAATCTTGCATAAACTAGGATCCAACTAAGGTCTAGGACTAATATACTTGATACTTACAATTCTAGTAAGTTGCTTAGCTACAATAGGAAATGCCAATACTATAATTAGAATAAAGCTTCAAGCTTTGTTATAATTGAAATAGGGTATAAAACTCTAAAAATAAATTAAAACATTCTAATTATACTTCAACATGTTGTTGAATATCAAACAATATTCCAAAAACCCTAAAGAGCCAAAAATCCAAAGTTATAAATTATAAAGCTTAAAAACTTTATAAAATTTGGCTATAAACTTCCTAATATCAAATTTTATTAATCAAATTATGGATTATACCAATGAACTAGAAATATAAATTACAAGTATTAATCATAAATTATTTGTTGAAAACAAGATTTTTAAATAAATCAAATTGGTTAATAAACATTTTATAAAAATGAATGTTTTTATATAAAATATAGGAGGGAAGTTTATAAAGTTTAAAATTTAGGAGAGAGGAGGCCAAAATGCATGCAAAAACTGGCCATCACCTCTCCCCATACCCTCTCTCTTCCCCAAAACACAATCATTAAGCTTAAACCCTTACTCCACCTCTTCCCTCTTCACTCTCTCACTTCACTCTCTTCACACACTTCACTCTCTTCTTCCCTCTCTCTAAACTCACGAAAATCCTCTCATTTCTCTGCAAAATTTCGAGATTGTGAAGCCCTTGAAGTGTTCTTACTTCTCTCAAGGTCAAAACCAAGGTAAACAACAACATCTTCTTCCATAGTTTCATGGTTAAACCTCTTTTTCTTCTTAGTCTTCTCTACTTTTCGGATTCTATGCCTTTCCATGGCTAGAAATCTTTATTCTCCCTTGTGGTTTGTAGATTCTCACCATAACACAATGCATGTGTTAGAGATGGTGAAAATCCGGGATCAAACCCATGCAAGGAGTGGAAAAGATGCACATATGATCATGTGACATCAAAACCTAATATTTCATGTTCTTCTCCATTTCTTTTGTGTCATGCATGAACAAAAGCATTTAAACCATTTCTAGTACATCTTGGATGCTCATTCATTCCATGCATGTGTTAGAAATCGGGCCTTACCAAAGACATGCATGATGTTCTTGTTGAAATACCCTAATAATGCACACAAGCAAACATGCAATCTGCCAGATTACTTTGTTCGACTTTGAACAGTCATAACTCAGTCATTTCTTAACCAAATCATGATATTCTTTTTGTATTGGTTAGTTCCACGAGTTAAATTTCAAACCCAACTGGTCTCACTGTAAAATATTAAATATCCGATTTTTAGCAGATTTTACAAAAAGGTTGCGCATACAGCTCTTTTTCTGTGATCACTATTTTTATCTTGCTTAAACAATGGCCTTAAACCCAACCATAAATCTGAGGAAAAATACCTTAGAAACTTAACATATCTAGTGAATTATGGTTGAAATTTCGTGGCTTAAAACCTCACTGAATGGGCTACACAAATTCATGAACTTCAGCCACATTTACACTTCATGCATTATTGCATGCAACTTTTCTTAAATTGTTTGGAATCATTACCCTCATTTCTCTTCTGAATACATTTTTTTACATTTTTCTTTTGAAAGCCCTTGCATGCATGAGATAATCTGGAAAATTTCAAGAGCTTTTGTTATTTCTTTGATTTATTAGAATTATTGCTAAAACCAAGGGCATAAATCATATAAAATACTTCCAGAGGTCAATAAATCCTAAATAAATTCATGGATGATCCTTATGGGGAATAATGACCCCTCACCAAATTTCAGCAATTTTTGTTACTGTTTCATATGATTTCTAATTTTCTTTTATTTAGGATATGATAAATTACAAAACCACTTTATAGGATGTGAAAATTGTATCTAACAATTTTCGCATACCTTACCTGTGATGGGTGACTACAGAAAATAATTTCAAGATTTGCCATCATGTTTTACTATTTTTCCCAATTTTTGGTAATTATAA